GTGTTCTTAAGTTCTCGAAGTTGCTTTGGGAGTCTCTTGGACTTTAGGCTCTTGAGGCCTTCTGAGAGGTTCACACATAGAAGTCCTGAGTTCCTAGCTCTGCACAGTTCAAGTTCTGCATTTCCTACGTAACACTTGGCATCACCCATAGATTTCGTGAAATGCAATGCAGCTTGAGCATGCTGTGACAAAAGCAATGGAATCTTTCCATCAACAACATGCGTTTCCATGACTCCCGGAAGTTTCGTCTCGGGGTCCAAAAAGGTCAAAGCAAATGGAATTCGACACTTGCCCAAAGTCTTGGTGTCTCCGGCAAGTCCTCGGAAAGCTTTTGAGTCACACTGCAAATCAGCTACGTCATACCCAAGACGTGCATACTTGTCTTTGGCGTTTTGGATCCATGCTTGTCCACACACAGTTGCATTACATCCTTCATCCAACACAGCCCAGACTCCAGGGTCTTCCATGATGTCAACAAGACGAAGTGTGTTTTCAATTGTGACCTCATTGAGATCCGACAACAGTCCCATGTAGCAAGTTTCCGGTGCGGCCTCTCTGATGACCTCCACGGCATTGGCAAGGATCTCGAACAGGACGCCAACCCTCACAGGTTCGCCAAATTCTAATTCGCACTCAACCTCTTGTCGAAACATCTCCAAAACCTCTAGAGTTCCTTCAGCTGACATACATGCATCGTTGATTTCATTCTCAATCATGGATGCTGTCGTGTCGAATGCATTGGTGCGCATGCCTACCATACTCTTTGCCATTGCCTCTCTCTTACGCGCCTCTTCTCGGGGCATCTCGTCGACAGTGGTTCCACACAACTTGCAGTACCAACGAGACGTGGTTTTCGAACTGCCTCGACGATCTGTAACCTCATGCTTGCACTTTGCGGGATCGGCCGAAGGTTTGCTTTCCTTCTTCTTCCTTTCATTCTTTCCGCAATCAAGGCATGTCTTGTTCTCAACATAGGCATTTGAACCTTGAAATGTGAATCTGGTGCAACGACGACATGATTCCTCTAGCGGGGGGTTTGGTGGTTTTCCCTTGGCACTCTTGTCTCCAGTACGTCGAATTGCCTCTACTGGCACATCTGTTAAGGGATGCTCTCTCAGGCTTACGTCTCCGTCTTGACGGACTTCATAGTACGTGGTCACCCAGGTCAGAAAATCTGCCAAACAACGCGAAGGGTGCGAAATGCCTGATCCCCATTGATAGTATCCAGGATATTTGAACAACACTTCATGGTATGTCAAACCTTGGTGCTGACCAAACACGAAGACATTCTGCGAACCTTCAGGCAACAAGTCTTGCTCCATGTCCTTCTTCCTACGCGTGACCGGAGGGGACTTCTGCGGTGACCGACGGACATTTGGCTCGACCATCGAAAAGCTAGACGGTGGACTGCTGGTCACTCCTGACGACATGGATGCACGGTCTGACGGTTCGAACTCAAGCTTCTTCTTTGGGGACATCTTGTATGCCATGTAGCACGTACCATTTTCGACAGTTTGGCCACTGACATCAACACACATGTATTCACCTTCAACAGAAGACTCATCATCACTTAATGCAAAATAGGCTGTGGCTTTACTCGTCGACGACGTTCCTCCAGGGGACTTGTCGTTTTGCTTGGGGAACTTGCAAGCTGGGTCTCCTGCCCAATGTCCTTTTCCTCCACAACGCAAGCATTTGGACACTGACTTCAACTTTGCTAGACGTGCAATCCTATCTTGCACGCTCAACTGTGTCCTGAACACATACTTGCCTTTCCCCTTGCTCTTTCCACCTTTCTTTCCTGAACCTTTACCTTTGCCTTTGCTTTTGCCCTTCAACTGGTCAGTCACGACAAAGGCCATCATTTGATGCTGGGCTGCGCTGCCCAGTTCCTCTGAAACATCGTTTTCTTCATCATCACATTCTCCCATTGCCATCAACGCCGTGGCAACTTCAGGGTCTTCGATATAGTCTTCATGTTCTTCATCATCTGGTTCTTCATCTTCTGCTGCAACATAAGCTTCATGCTCATAGTCGTCCTCTGCTTCTGCCTCATAGGAATCTTCATAGTCCCAAGAGTCATCTTCAACAATGTACGCAGATCTCTGCCAACTGCGTCCTTTTCCTCCTTTGTAGGAAGACTTGCCTGAAAACTTGCCTCCGCCTTTCTGCCTCCGAGGGCTCGTATTACCGAAAGCGGACCAGCTGCGCAAGTGAATTTGTCCATGAAATTCAAGCAAGAACTTGGCGTAGACGTCAAAGGATTGGTTGTCGCCTGCAGCTGTTTTGATCATGAGCTGTTCTGTCTTGCTCAAGCCAGAGCCTTCCAGAAGTAGCTCACCACGCATGGGGTCTGAAAGACTTACCCCATCATCCATCTCCAAAAGCTTCCTCCACCAACGACGTCTTCGTGAAATGTAGCTAGTCATGCTTTCTGTCGTTTGGCGAGACAAGGGACCATGTGGAAGTTGACCCACTCTGAACAACTCTCGTGCTTCTTGTTGTCGAAGTGGAAAAACTTGTGCACGGATACGCGATATCAACTCATCGATGCCAGTTGGAGTCAACAACTTCTCCAATCCCATGTCTTGAGCTGTAAGGTATGCGTCACCTCGCAGACCTTCCAACACCTTGTGAACAAGTGTTGCATACTCTGCTCCATCATCATCCAGCCCGGCAGTGCTCAGAGCTGGTTCTTCTTCTCCTGCCACGCTCTCGGACTTCGGGGTTCCAAAAGCTTCAAATCGTGCCTCTTCATCCTCTGATACATCCCCAGCTTCGGTCGCATGAGTCGGCCTCCTCTGAGAACGTTCTGGTGTGGCTGATTGGCTTCCAGGACTCGAATAGGTCTTCTCTGATTTCTTCTTCGCATGTTTCTGCTTGTGCAAAGCAATGCGGACCTTGGTGCGAAATTCCCATTCGAAGAAACCATTTGGATTGCCACTGTAGATGTATGATCCGCTCTTCGTCTCCTGCGGTCCTGAGATACTTCCTCCATGGGATGTGTACCGCAGGCCAGCCAGCGACATCGCAACTCAACAAGTTTCGCAAAGCACTGGAATTACAACGGTTCGACGGATTGCGCGCAGGGTCACGCAATTGGGTTCAACGGGTTCGGATCCAGCGAGTCTCCCCGGGTGAGTCAGATCCTGAGGGTGCCCCTTCAGAACCTGCTCCGCTACCAGTTTGAATCTCGCACAGTTCCTTTTCGCAGCAGCGAATCAGCTCAAGGGCCCTGTTCAGCCGAAACAGCAGCGACGGTGCATCAACTGTACGCAATACACCCTGGCTACAACAGCTGAAATTCACACAGGTACATGCAGTGTTTGGGATGAAACTAGACATCGCCGACCCCGAGGCTAGCTCACACCTCACCCTCCGGCTGAACCCGAGACAAGGTGCCCTCCACAGGGCCCTGAGAGGGCGGTTCTTTGGAAAGCGCAGGGGAGGATGTACATCGGATGTATGGGAAACATTCGATGGGGTCGGAACAATGAGGTTTTAGGACGCCTTTAAAAAAGGGAAATAGGAAGCATCATGACATGGTCAAGGCACTGGCACTGTTTTGAGTTTTAAAAATGTGTTACTGAGTGTGTGTTTTATTTTGGGGAAACGTCTCAAAAATCACCACCTGTGTATGACCATGCGTGGTGTTGTCCTCCAGTTGGCCTCCAGTGGACTCCAGTGGGTGGGATCCATTCAAAACGACATTGGTCTCAGATTTTGGAAATGACGTTGGCCTGGTTTTGGTAATGTAGACTCTTGATTAATAAAACATAATAAAACCATCCCCTTTGGATTAAACAGCCTCATGTGGCGACATGATTAATTACATGATGCAACATATGTTATTCAGCATATCCTTCTTGAATGTTGGTTGGACTGATGTGTTAAGTGTTGCTTGTCGCGCAATCTGGAATGATTCTAATCCATGGATCAACCAAAAGACCTGGGGTGGACCGGCACCGTACCAGGGGCGACGCGGCGACACCCCAAACTAATGTGACCAGAAAAGGGTCGAGTCAGGAACATGGCCGACATCCACCTTTCCAAGGGACCCCAGTCCGTACTATCAACGTCGGAAATTGCCTCAACTTCTGGTTGGGATCTTGATCCGCATGGAACTCCGCACATCAACTCCCACAAAAAAAGTCACCTCAACTTCTTTTCCCCATGGAACTCCGCAGTAAGTGTGTAGAACACATTGGTTTCGAGATCGTTAGTCACCTCAACTGTTGTATTCACAGTGCGGGTACAGGTAAGTAGTAACTGAAGGAATTTGAAGGGCCTTTTCTCAAGAAAGTATGGCCCAAGCACGTCTACAGGAAAGCATAGGAAAGCCCAAGCACGGCGCGCATATTATACTACCCTACGTCTTCTTTTGATGTTGAGCGGTAGGTATATAATGGCCTCAAATTGTTGTCAATTACTTCAGTGTTCAGGGTGAACTACTGAAGGAAGCAGAACCTGCACCACCTTTGTAGTTGACTCCCTCAGTGTTCCAAAAAAGTCACGTTAATCCTTATCCACCTGTTCTTGTCTGAACAAAAAAAACAACGCCAACCAACTCAACCAACTCGAGGCTTTCAGACAGGTTATGTCATATATCGGTCACCACGGTGCAAGACGGGTCCGACCCCCCCGCCAGCTCAGTGCCGCACGCTTGACGAGGTGTTGGGTGCCTTCGGCAAACACGTGAAGCGAGACGCCAAAACGGAGGCGTTTCATCCCCAAGGATGCATGGGACTGGAAGATGGTTGTATTGTTGATGTGTTTTATTGTTTTTGTTTTTTCATGGATGGGTGGTTTCTTTAACTGTTGTTGTTTCAAGGTCCAGTCCCATGGATTGTCGTCCAACTACTTAAGATCTCTTCATCATACTCGATCAATGTATAATGTACATGACTCGTTATTTTGTCACGCGCGCAAGGGGCTTCATTCCCATCAGACTTACTCATGAAAGGAACTTGGCCCGGGGGAAGATGTTGATGCTACCAGTATCATCGAAATAGGAAGCATGTCATGTGCAATCGTTTTGACACCAGCATGTCCAACCATATCCTCAGAAGGTGGGGACAATGAGCGCGAGAAGATATGTGGATCCGACATGATCAAAGCACATTCTTATCATCACGCACGTCGTGCGTACGCTGCAAGCGGCCGAGTCGAACAAGTTTCGGAGCAAGGACAAAAAGGATGACCGACATGCATGAGTGACGTATGGGCATGGAATATGGCAACTCAGCAGTTCTAAGTGAGATTAGAATAGGTCCATTGGTGTTGGAAGCCGAGAATCATGGAAAACATATGCTTGAGATTGCTTGAGAAGAAACACATCTGCAGGAACCATGCTGTCCATTGCCATGCATTAATTGAGGGTCAAATGAAAAAGGCTAGTTCACTAGTTCATCGAAATGTCACACAACAACCCTGTGGTTGAAACACTTCACTACACTCAGAACTCTGGGCTCAAATGCCAGTCAGCCTTTTTGGGCAACCCACCAAAACTGCTGGGCAAGAGTCTTGGGAGGGTAGATGAGCCACAAATCCCAACAAGGTGCTCCTTACTCCTTAGAGCTCATGATCTCAAACACAAATGACCTAAAATCATTGATAAGCGCCTTAAAATGACTAAAACATCCCCTGTGTAGCCATGCGTTCTCACCCCTTCCACTGACCCCCGCCTCACTGGTAGAGCCACTCGTGGAGCTGTCGCCGTCGCTAGCACCGGACGTGGAAGTGGAAGTGCTTGGGTTGCCGCCACTCGCGTCCGCTGTCCTGCGGAGATGGGATGTCGCTGCTTTTCTGGTCCCACACTGAGGTCCGCATGGCTACAGCGACGGAGGGACGGCTACAGCATGGAAGCAGCTCGAAAAAATGCGGAGGTCTTTTCAGGCTTCTGTTTCTCGCAGATCTGAGGCTGATTCTTATTGCTGAAAAGGTTCGTCTGCGGGACTAGAAGAGTGTCCCAGTCCCGCTCGCACAAGGAAACGAGTATTTAAGCAACACCAGAACCGTGAGTGGTACTCATTCTAACTTACCCTAGGATACACCTCACTGGAATCGGCCCAGGCCTTACCGATGGGGTTGGACACATGGCATGTGTTCAGCTGTTTTGATGGTTTTTGCATTCACTCCAAGACTTCCGGAGCTGTGACCTGTCGAAAAAAGCCCGTCCAACCTTTGAGGCTCGCTGGGCGCCCTAAGCTACGCTACTAGTAGCGGCAAGGACGCAGGTTGCTCGGTGGAGGCCATTGCGTTCGTAGGTTGGAGGCCATCGCTACGAACGGAACAAGAAGGCTGCTAGTAGCTCCTGGCATTGCTATTTGGTTGGAGGCCGTCGCTACTAGGAACAAGAAGCTACTAGTACCAAAGGGAACATCTCCATGAGGGAAGCAGGATTAGTTCCCGCTGGACACGGTCCGATATCTGAAGCAAGGCAGTTGGATCAGGTTGGATCTATAAGGTACTGTTGCAAGAACTAGAAGCAAAGTGGCAAAACGTGATTGACTCTAAACCCTACATTGGTTGACCGCTCATTTTCTGAAGAGAGATTCGTCTACAAAAAAGCACATCAACCTACCATGGTTTGTTGGGATAGGTTTTGATCGACACCGTGTCCCACATGACATGTGCTACCGCGCCATTCTTGTTTCATCTCTAAGAGGCTCTTCTGTCCTCTGCACCTAACCTTGGGCACCTTTGCCATCGACACTCTTGAAAAATCGCTGCCCCTCAACGCTGGATTTCCTTCCTTCACCGCTCTTGCAGGATATCTCTGTGTTCAGTCAACTCTTATAGGTTCTCTAAAGGAGCCCAGAGCTCTTGCAGATTGGAATTCGGTTGTACAGATTCCCCCAAAAGAGCGCTCTCCAAGAGAGTCTTTCTGCCCCTCCCAAAAATCCAAACGCCCAGTCGTGGTCGTAGTTGTAGAATCATCTGCCTGAGGACATTGCTTGGATCCCAAGCCAAAAACACTTCCGACCAGTTGCAGCAAGCAAAACCAATTAATTGGATTTGCTCTTGGGAGCTTGACATCTTCACATCATGAGATGATCTAAGCTTTGGATGGTGGTCGGAACCACAAGCCCCAAGGCAGGTAAGCATTCTTTGTGTGAAATAGAACGCATCCTCTTTTTTTGCCGGTCAGTTGATGGTTTGTCTGCATTTTAGAATCCTCATTCCAACATGTTGATGAACTCAACAATTGGGAGGAAAGGGTTGACTTGGACTCCCTCTGATGCACAATCTCTCACCTGCCACTGGTTCGGAACTTAAAGGGGAACATCCTAGTGAACATTCTTAGTCAAGTGCCTGTTGTACATACTATATGTTTTTTGTGTTTCATCTTGCTTGGAGAATGTCAATTCAATCACCTGTGGGATATTGAGTAGCCTTGGATAACTCATGGGAAGACACGTTGAGTTAACCTCGGGAGAGGTTCGGGCAACGTGCACCAACGCTCGACACGGTCGTTGAGAACGTGAGAGGACATGGTGGCAGACCAGGTCGGTCGACGTGCATGGCAGTGAAGTAGAAGAACAAAACACCATATTCTATGGAAGAGCCAACACCATTGTGTTTTGCATTGGTTGAAAGCTCAAAGTTTGGTCAAGATTTGTTGACCTACCTGGAATTCGGAAGGTCGTTCGCTACGTGGTGGGTCGAGCTCCAGGTTGAACAACCCAACCTCATATGCTTGATCCACAAACTGTTGCGGATCCACATTTGGGTGTTATTAGGGTATGGAGACCCTCCAAAGACCACCTGGAAGAAGGAAAATAGACCACAACCCATTGTTGAGAGGGTTCCATACTACAAAACAAACCCATTTTTCATCCTGGCAAAGTTGAAAGGAACACCAAGTGGGTGATGGCGCGATCGCCCACAAAAAAGATCAGTTCCCCAAAACTGTCCTTCTTCACCAAGTCAAATCTACTCCTCTCGGGCACATGCCGCCTGCCCCAATGCCCCATGCCGCCTGTGGCACAGTGGTAGTTGTGGATCGCGTCGTGACACCTGCCTCGGCAAAAAGACCGGCGGAACATCGAAATTCACCGGAATTGGCATCCGAAACACATCGATTTCACCGTGTTGGAGCTGAAAACGCATGGGATTGGGGTGCAAGGAGCTTTGAATCCTGCAGCAGCTATCACAAAACTGGTCCCATGCAGTACTACATGCAGTAGATGCACAGCCCAATGCATCGGATACATCCCTTTCGCTGGCTTTCGATCCCATCGCCGCGCCTGAGCGGCCTTCGCGGCCTTGGCAGCTTGGCTTCGACTCTGCAAAGCAGTGGAGGAGATCTCCAGATTGACACCTGCCTGGAGGGTGGAGCTCAGCTGGTGGAGCTCAGGAGCTCAGGTGATGCTGAGGAGCGAGACCGCTGCACAGCGCGGAACTTTTTTGCAGTTCAAGGCATTTGCAAACAAGAAGCCAGGAAGGAAACGAGTTTGGGGGTCTAGGGAGTTGATCTTCAAGAGTTGGTGCATTATTCTCATCAAGGGATTGACTTGGTGACTTGGTGAGACTTGGCGTGTGCCAGTCGCGGCGATGCGACCTTTTGTCGCGGCAGCTGCAGTATAGTAGTCTATACGATTGACCTGCAGTGGGGTGCTTCTTCATTCAGGGTCACTGTAGGCATCCATGTCTCATAGCAGTCCAATGAGTCTGGTTTTGGTATCCTTTTGGATTCTGTCGAGCTCTGAGAAGTCGATCAGTCCTTCGATTTGACTCAAGCAACAAGCCGTCGCCGTCGCCGTCATGTGGAAGAGAAAGCTGTTCTCAACCTCTTTCCACCGGTTCACCCATCCAGTGAGGAAGGCAATACGCCAAAAGCCCCGCCCCTTTTCGAAAGCTGGACAACAAATCCCACTTTCTCCTACCCTATAGGACCACTCCATCTCGCTGGACCACGCGTGCGATGAAAACATCGTCCGGTTGGATCGGATCGTCCGCCTGCGCGTTGATGACTCCCACAGTGCTGACGGCCTAAGGCTGAGTCTGTCCGATTGGTCCACAGGGGATGTCGACGGAGTTCAGAATGGGCTGAAACAATGGATGATGGATAGATATGGATAGTGGTCCACACTAGGGCCGCTAGAGTCTGTTAATGTCTGTCATATATTGAGTCGTTTTTGGCTCGATACAAGTGGTAGCTTCAAGCCGCCTAGCTATGCTGCGTTATTTCGTCCAAGGGGCTTTCGTCAACGAAGGGTTACTGCTCTTCACCATCTTCTTCAACTGCTCACAGACCTGTGAGGGACTCACTGAAGTTGCGACTCCTGCCGCCGCAGTCCAGGTCTCGCAGCCAGTCGTGTGGAGCGAAAATCACCGATCGATGAGGTCACTGATATCGACCAAGAGAGATATCAAACAGGCAAAGCAGTATAGGTTGAAGGTCATGAGCATATGTTGGATTAACATGTTGGAGTCACCATTTTTTGTGCAGAAAACAAAAATTAGAGTGGTTGAATTGCAAGAGTGTTGTCTTCGTTGTTGGTGTTTCCGTTTGCGCTCCATTACACTGGCCAGAAGAAAGTTGCGCTTCTTGATGTTGAAACTCATGACAACCCTATCCCCCTAGAATCCTACACCATGACACAAGGGAAGGTGTGGGCGGTCATTTGTCAACCCGGAAAGCTTTTTATTATTATAAATTTAAAAGTGATAATTGACCGTCCCACACCTGCCACGAAAATTAGACTTGTTAATTCGATCCGCCGCTGACCTCAGAGTGTTTTGTAAGAAGGCTAACAAGCGTAAACTTTTGTCTGCCTGAAGTATTGCCTGGCCCTTAGTGTCTCTGCTGGAAGGTGGGATTGGGATGGCTTTGGAGGGTCTAACTGCCCGATGATGATGATGATGATGATGATGATGATGATGATGATGATGATGATGATGATGATGGATGCGTTGCTCTATGTAATTCTCTAAGGTAGATGGCTTGACAACGCTCTCATCCTTCTCTTTCAAAACACTGACTTCTACTGGCAGGACTATGTGACCATATTTCACCTTACCCGCCAGTCTGCTTGAATGTGTGTTTCACCAATGGACAGCAAAATCCTTCTGGGACTCCCTGATGCATTCTTTTCTCAGCAGAACTGCTCCTCTGCTCCGTTGACAACAAGCAGAAAAGGATTGAACATCTTTGAGTTGACCCATGGATTTGGGGTGCATCCGTGCATCCACATACTTCCATTTCAAAACAACAGTGTTCCAACTGGGGAAGAAACACCAATCTGCCCTTAAAAATCGACATCATTCATGAGTCATGAGTCACTGGAAAAACATATGGGGCTCATGGAGCAGCAGGCCCCTCTCCTTGGTTGTCGATGCCGTAGATCACGGTTCCCCCAGAGTTCAGGGCACGCTCCTGCTCTTTCAACCGGCCTCAGTGGCTGGAGTATGAAGATCAACAGCTTGGCAATGACCGTGACCCCAAAAGTGAATCGCCTGTGAATGTAAAGGTATTGGAAAGCGCTTCATATATTTAGGGACTTCATATATACATATATATTATATATATATATGTGTTTTTCTCGTTGTTGTTTTTTTTAATCTTATATATATATGATAATAGGTAATAGAGGTAAATGTATGAAGTGGCGAGTTTTTCGGGCGCTTTAGGTTCCGAACAGGTCCATTCCTACCGGCCACCGGAGGGAACAAAGCTGCAACTCCGGCGGGGCGGCAACCGGCTTTCGAAGAAGATATGCAGCGATCCCCTCTGATCGTTCACTTAGGACACTTTGAGCAACAGTATGAATAATTTTAACTCACAGTATGGACAGCGGGCAGCATGGGCCAATTTGAGCAACATTGAGTAACTTCATTTCAAACAGGTTGAACAACTAGATAAAGCATGTTACTCACGGTTCTTCGTGGTTCTTCCACGCCGCAGAACGGCAAACTTCGAAAGGTATTAGCTTGCACGGGGTCAAAACGCCTGCACTCCGGTTTGCCTTGTCAAACTGTTTTGGTGATTTTAACGCAAAAACAGGGTTCTTCATTTACTGACTCCCTCAGTCTGCTGCGCAATTTTTCAGTTTTTTTAAAGCCATGGTTAACCAGTTCTTGTTTCGCAGGGACACCCATTAAATTCCAAAAAAGGTTATCCATGTTACCCACTTTTCCTGGGTACGGGTAGGTTCATGGTCTTTCTTCCCGCACCCTATACTCCCACCCTGGACTAAAACACGATTGAGTAAATAGAAGCCGAGAGGCGGGTTGCAGTCTTCACAGCCAAGGTGGTCTTCAAACCACTTGGAATCTGGAGTACCTCCATACTCCCCTGAAGTCCACTCCGAATTCTACTAATAGAATCACTCTAGTGACTCTAGTGAAACCCAACAAGGACCATAACGGACCATAACTACTATGAAACCATATAAAACCGCTGAACACCAGTGATGGCTCTCGAGCCCTGCGCATGCACGCAGGTTACCAAGCCTTGACCGCTTGTTTTGGACAAGTATATTATACAGACTCTCTACAGAAGATCGAACAACCAACCTGCTTGGGCAAGTTTGCCTGTCAAAGTAAAAGGGTCCGCTGATATCAATGCACTTTGCTGGGAGTAATCCTTGCACCACATGGTACCTTGAGCATTGACCACCCTTTTAACTTGCAAGGCCAATCACCTGGACCAACTGATTCCCCGAAAATGTGCCTGTGCGGTCAACAAAGAGTGACGTTTGCACTGACGCGTTTAGAATATAACATATCAATTAGACCCACTGGTACCGCATTCGAACAACATCGCATGTACCCACATGTCACATGTCCCTGTGTCTTAGACTGGTTCAGCGAATGTCTAGGTCACCCTCTGTCTGAGTTGAGGGCAGGGCAGGTTTCGAGATGTTGTGAGCTTACTGTTCCAAAGAAGACTCAAACTGGAAGCAACTATGGTCAAAACGAAAGCCGTGGAAGCACGTTTGCTCCTCAAAACTACGACCCTAAAACATCCACCGAAACCCAGGACCCTTGCAATGCCTGGCACGGGTTTCACGCCAGTGCAAGGGGGGGTTGGGTGGGCCCGGTACACTGTTGATCTTCACCCTGGCAGTCTCCGCATTCTTCTTGGCATCAGCGCCTGAAGCTTAGCAGGCTTAGTTGGGCCAAGCCCCTAGATCAGAGGCAGATCCTTGTGGAACTTTGGATTTCCAGGGCACGAGTGAGTCACAGAAAAGTGTGTTGAATTCTACTGCATACAGGGCTACATATTCTTGCAGTTCTCTGCGATTGCTGCGGGGTTGTCAGAATTCACTCTACACAATGAGGTGGAAATGAGCTCAATGGATGGCATCCAACAAGAAACATTGACAACCCCATCCAAGCTGCAATAATTTACAAATTAAACATATCTCAACAACTCAAATACTATCACACTGGCACTATCTCTGCATGGCAAACTGATGATACAATGTCCATGGAACAGGCGTCTTCAGGACCCCCATTTGCCTAGCCTCAGGGTCTCCCATTTTGTTCAAAGGTCAAGTCCAGGTAGTCATTGTACCTACACTTGCCATCTACAACCCGTGTTTCGACAGGCAGGTGCATCTCACCCTGGTCCAAGTGAGTGATAATGATCAGTGATCACCAGCATCCCAGTCCTCTATGGACACCCAACTTCCAACATCCATTCAACATCCCAAATCCACTCACCACCATCAGGTGTCTCCACCGCCGATGTGTGTTTCCCTTCTCGGCTTGAACCCCAATGCAAACGAGGAGACTCAAGCTGCTCATCGTCACGATGGCGTTGCATGTCTCACGGGTTGCTGTGCTGCTGTCCAAACGTCGGTTTTGTGTGGTGGCAGTGGCATACCTCGAGGCCAGGGCAAAGCCAGCTGAAACGCGCATGTTGCGAAAGTCAATCACATTGCAGGTGTTGGACGCATTTGGTGACACACACACACACAAGCAATGGGACTGAGAACACTCAATTGGCACCAGCAGCGCGGTTTTTGGGGCCATGGTGTGTTATCATTCTAGGCATTGCCATTGGTGATTCTTTTCCAGAACATCAGAATATCTGGGAAAGATTCCAACCGATGGCCAGAGTGTCAAGCAGGAGCCACCTGCGGAGCTGCAACAAATTTAAAGAACCATGAAGACTCTCCATGGGGTCCTAAGACCAAGCCAGGGGCCAGGCCACGAAATCTTCCTCTGAGACACCCAGGAACTCCTCACCCACGTTATGCCCATGATTTTTCGCTCTCCCAGTTCTAGTGTGATCACATCTCTGCCGCTTTCCGCTTGTCTCGTTGTCTCTCACGCGCCGCTTTCCGGGCGCGGATTCCGGGCTGCTGGTGCGCTTGTTGGACGCAAGTCTTCGTGGCAAACCAAGTGGCAGGTTCATACAGGTGGTGTCCACTGAAATGGTCGCCCCCGACAGGCACTTCTTCATGCCCTCGCCCGCCGGACAGGTGGCGTTCGCTCCAATACACGTCACCTGAGTGCGGTGCGTGACGAAGAGAGCGTCGAAGTAGCGAGAGGGAAAGAAAAGGCCAAAGGACTCGGACCGCCCCTGGAAGAGATCATGGACAAGGAGACTTCTGGGGGACTTCTGGTTCTTTCATGGATGTGGCGCCTGACAAAAAGAACCTGTGACTCATGTGACTGTCTGAGCCAATCATCAAAATAATAGCCAGCTGGAATATGGAGTACAATGTACAGTGCCATGAACCCTTGACAGCCTTCTCTTCTTGGAAATCACCAGGCCACTAGGTGGTAGTGGTCCCATTTCGTCTTCAGAATCGTCAACGACACATAACCATCGCGGCCCATCTTGGCTTGCTGCTCGAGTCCCAGTGGCCGTTTCGGACTTGAACTTCCCGTTGGAGTTCAGGTTGGTCTGCACGCACGTGACGTTTCCTGCGGTCTGCGGTCTGCTACACAGCACCTGAACCCGGGTGCCGTCCCATGAGTAGCCGATTGAAGTGGTAGAATTAGAATTCTGCATCCTGCATTTGTTTACATGGTGGCCATGCACCTTCTTCATCCTTGTTCTCTAATCCAGTGGCCCAGAAGGCACAACATGCACAAAAAGAACTCACGACCCGTCGAAATGGCCCAAGCAAAATCTGCAGAGGATGCAGCATGGTTGTATAACTAGTGTTATTTCGGGTTAGAGAGCAATGGCTTGGAGATGATTCCCCTAAGCCATGGGGATGCACCGCAAACTCTCCTAACTGATTCTCTTGGAATGCCGCCGACCCATACGGCACAGATTCTACCATCCCGCGATGGGCGATGGATTCTCCTGCGGCGATGGCATCGGCGGTGCAGGGCTCGGGGCATTTCTTTGTGTTGAAGGAGGGCGCGCACAGCTTGGCCAACGCCTCGGAGGTGAAGGGCGCTCGCGAGGCCGGCAAGATGGTCGACACGGCTTGATGACAGGTTGAGCCCAGCGAACTGCCAATCCTGTCAGCCATGGTTCAAAAACAAGAACTCGATCGGAGTAGACCTGACCACGAACGACCTCCGTCTTAAGAACTTGCCGGGGTTGCTCGGTGTCAGGTGACCCTAAGCGGTCAACCAACCAACCAACCAAGCTCGAAGGCAACAGTGGAGTCGAACATAGCCTAAACCAAGAGGGTGACAATTTGACGGCATTTGTCCCACCAAGCAGCATCGTTGGGGTCAGGGCAGCTGAGAGTGTTCTTGCCGCAAGGGCAAGATTGGCCCTCCTTGACGCATTGAGTGGAGAAACCGGTGGCTTCACCTCGGACGGTGCCCGACGAAAATTGCTTGGAGAAGAAAGCCCGATGAAGAAGCAAGTGTTTACTCCCTCCAACACTCATGGAAGCTGACCAGAACCCTCTTGTAGAGGAAAAGTACCTCCTCAAGCGGCAGAACCGTGCCATGATGCTTTCAGGGAGTGCATGGCATATCTGAAGGAGTTCATCTGGAAGATCAAGTGTTCTGGCCACATCAACAATTCATAAGCCATCGCACCCCACCAAAGCGGACGTCACCACATCACCAATATCAGCATCATGATCATCATCAATATCGTCATCATTATCGTCATCACTATCATAATAATTATAATCATAATCATAATCATAATCATCATCATCATCATCATCATCATCATCATCATCATCATCATCATCATCATCATCATCATCATCATCATCATCATCACAACACAATCCAGCAACATGGTCACACTACACCTCATCACATCCTAAGTCTATATACACGCCATATTGCCACATATATGACCACTCCTCCAGTGACGCTGATGTTTCAAGCGGCCATTCTTGTCATAGTCCACCACCAAGCATTCCGTCTCCGACGCCTGATGGCCAAAAATGCCAAACATATGCTGGAAAGCAGAAGGTACATGGGGTACCTTACCTTAGTATGGAAAAAAGAAAGTGAACTTTAGGACATGAACAGAATAGACTACCAGGGAGGTCAATCTATCAGGGTTTGGGGCCCCAGGTTTTGATTCACAGGTCCGTGAGAAAGTAATTTCATTCCCAAAGCCACGAAAGGCAAGGGATCCCCGCATGTTGACTGTTCACATTTTCCCACAGGCTTTGGCCGTAAGTCCAGCTGACTCACGAAGGATCATACGGCCACACAGAGTTCGTCCGTATGTGTGAAATATGAATGATTACAATGATAAAGGAAGACAGCAATGTGTATGATAGCTATATGGGTACCATGGTACCATATGACATTCAATGTGTAACGGTGTAACGCAACGAAAATACAAGCACAGCCAAAAAAAAACATACTCAAATCACCAGCACAACATCACCAACGCACAACGCAGGATTGCAAAAACCTAAGTGAAATGACTTTTAGGGATTGCAAACACCTATATCATCCTATATCTATAATATACCTGTACCTATAACAAGGAAACACTTTAGGGTATTTTACGTAGTATTTTCAGGGTTATCCTCGTTCTCTCTGGCGATGTGGTGCAGTTCTTCCTTTAAGACTGGTTGCCTATCATTGGAGTCCACGCATGTTAGGCCTGTTAGGCTGGAAACAGAAATTCCACTGAGATGGTGGACAATGCACGTTGCATTTACCAAACCCTGGGTGGATTCAATCAATGGCCACAGAGGTCACTCCTACCACCCCTACCACTGACATCGGCAACTGATAAACACATCAAACACTGCACCACGTGTTTGACATCGTCCTGGCCGCTCACCTTCGCAAAACAACAGGGTCCGGCGGCCTGTCTAATGTGAGCAAAAAAGGGGGTTCTCCTTTCGGAAGGTCCAAGTCTTCTTCGTTGGTGACAAAAAACGCATACAGAAACTCGGCATATCCTGATTGTTCTTTCCTGGTTGCAAACGCGCATGCTGGAAAAGCATCATCAATGAAAAGGATACTTCGGGGTGATCTCCAGGAGATCTTCAACTCGGTCCTAATGCTCATCACCTTCAAGCCAGGTATGCCTGTCCTGGCGGCCTCTTGGGCCTTCCAGCAGACTGCTGAGACCCCACAAGATCGGCTTTGGCACCGGCTTTGGCACCGGAACTTGAGAAATCCTTCCTGTGAAGCACTCTCTGAAACCAAGTCATTTGAACGTGGCGCTCGGCTCCCCAAAGACTCGGATGAGTCTAGAAGGCCCAGAGGTGGTGAACTCGGTGAACTCACTCCAGTTGAATGACTCTTTCAGGGAGTCTATCTTCTGCTTCACCCATCCCAAAGAAAGAAGCGTCTGCTTCTTCCCACCTTGGATCCATACTTCTATGCCCTGTGTGAATCACACGCAGGTCACAAGTTACAAGCCATATGCGCACGTACATCGGCGACGAATCTGTTTTGAGGGTTCTGGTTGCAAACAGATATTATATTCATGATCTGCCTCTGCATTCATCCCACCACAGCGCCTTGCAGGGGCAAACAATGGCGGCTTCAGCGGTGGTCAAGCACAAGTCGGTATTGGCGCACCTCGCTCGGGGGACGCCTTCTGGCGCTTAAGGAGCACATCGTTGGAACCGGTTTTCAGAGTCCCGGCATCGATGGAAAGATCTGTGTAGTGTTTTTGTTGCACCCGTCTGATGGTGAACTTTGGGCGTGTTGCAAGTTGAAAACACATCAAGTTTGATGGGAGTTCAAGATCTGAAGATCGTTCCGTTCCGCAAACTCTTGGCGTGAGCTTTCTGAAAGGCCAGAAACAGAAAGACCAGCGTTCGGCCCAGCTAGGCCTGCGTGTGGGGGGGGGCCCAACACCTTTCTGTTTCATGTCGTCCGTGACGTCGCACCGACGCACATCGGAGGCGAGCGGCTTGGCGGTGTTTTTGCCACAGGGACACGTGGCATCTGCAGCAACCTCAGGGTACCGAGGTGGGAAGGTGCTTCGAAGGTGCAGGACTAACGGGTCTCTTGCAGGTGGACCCACACGGAACGTGAGAACCACGGAACGGTTGGTTTGAGGAATGCCAAGTCTTACAGTCTGGTCCATGCCAAGCCATCAGGTTCCATGTAGGTCTCTTCCACACTGGTGCACATTTGAACCTCCCAAGTCCACATTCCATTGTTCTTTGTAAGAAAAGCGGCCCCACATAGCTGTGCTACACCGCTACACAAGTGTGTTTGATTGTTTGTGTGTTTAATGTCTTTGTTGCATCAATGTCTGTCAAAACGACGTGTGATGCTGCCACCAAGACTTTTGTGCTTTGGTGGAGGCGTCCTTCCTCAGTGTCTTGATGATGACCCTTTGCTAAAGATCGTGACAACCCAGATTCGGGGTCCCAATATCCAATATGCTGATGTCTTGAAAGGAAGAACACTGGAATACAATTTAATGGAATATACCGTACCTCAACACGGAGGTCCTACATCTGTGAATGAGCATCAAACTCTTTGCTCATCCTCAAGCAATCTCCAAACCAGGGTGGCACTCATAGACTCACGAACTGCCAACCCCAGACACTCCGAAGCCGCGGCACGCAAGTTTCTCGGTCACTGATGAACTCGCCGTTGCCGGTGTAGTCTGTCAAGTAGCCTGGGTAAACCGGCGGCGTATTTGGTGCCCAGAAGACACACAGACCGGACATCCACGACAAATATGTGATTTCAACAACAACATCAACAACAACGACGACAACAACAACCACCACCACGACCACGACCACGACCACGACCACGACCACGACCACGACCAC